ACTTTTCTCCACACTAGAAGAGGTTGAGAAACTTAAGATCAATAGAGAGAGGGAATGGCTTTTGCTTTACTGACCACGAAATAAGATAAAGAGATCATTTTACAAAAAAACTGTAGATGTTAGGGAGAATGATGAGGGGTTTTTCCATAAAAAATGAAAAGGTGTTGTTTTGAAGGTAGTAGTTGAAGTTGAAGGGGCCACAGTGCGAGGAATTTGTGCTAAATTTGCCCTACAACTACTCTTTCAAAGTAGTTGATGTGTCTAAGAACTTCCCAAGGTATGCGTCGTTGGAAGCATTATTATTAAGATTTAGAAACAAACTATAGAAGCACTACGTCAAATAGCTCTGAGTAGTGAAATCAAGATAAAATAAAGATCACTTTGTTACGATGAAACTTATGAAAGCTGCGCTGTTGTCATTTGGATTCACCGTTTGATTCTGAGCACAATGACATATGGATGTTTTGGGTTTCGTTAAGTAGGAGCAGAGATAATCCACCAGAATCAAATGCCCCATCGGCTCTGGTCGTTCTCTGCCATCTTCAAAAGTGACGCAATCAAGCGTCTTCCTCGGAGCATTTGGCTCTGGTTCCCTTTTCTTCATTGTTGCAAATCAATACAAGCAAATCGCATATCATTCCAAGGTCTTGAAACATACATCTGAACAGAAAACTATGCAACATCCAATTTGTTCTGAGTGAATGAAATAAAAAACCGTGTTTTCTATTTTCTTTCTTTTATTAACTCGACAGGAAATCTAAAATGCAGCAAAGCAGACAACTGGGCAACTTTCAGTTTTGATTATTCATTAAACTATTTTAGAGGACGCACGAAGAAACTCGTAATTCTTTTTGTGACTTTCTCAAGATTTTTGCGGCTAGACAACCTTAAGATCATCCCGCTCACCAAATTGCGCTGTAAAACGTTGACAAATGTGCAACTTTCACAATATTTGAATTGAGGGGAAGAAGTGAAAGGAAATATGTGAAAATGACTTTTCTTTCAAAGTCGTTTTTTATAGTATAAGAGGAATGATTCTACTCCCAGTCTCATTTTCAGTGCTTGGCAAAATTTGGCAGCACTACCATGTATCCAGGTAACCATTCTCGTAATCCCATAGTTCTTTGTTTTTCGCGCGTTTCCCCGTTTTCCGCTCTTAGTTGGTCAAAGATAAAAATATACGTTATTAGCGCATAGTCCAAGATTCAAATGACTTAGGACTCAAGAATGGCCTCAAGCATTTTGCATCATGTCAGTATTGTTCACATGTTCACTTTTATGCAAAAAAAAAAAACAGTTAGCTTTTCAACTTGTTGGAGGTTTCACGAAAAGGAAGAGGAACGAGGAAAATGAACGAGTAATGTTTGAAGAAAGTTATGGCATTCTATACATTTTACATTGATTACTGTTTAAAAGGGAACAATTTTCTACTGAGTTATTTTGAACAAAGAAAGTTTGGTTGTTTTCTCCTGCTCGCTACTACATTATATCAGAAACAACCATCACTTTTTGCAAAGACCTGAGTAAGAATCACTATCCATGTTGTCTTGTCTTTGGAATATCGAACGTATGACACCTAGATTGGGTGGCGATGTTGCATAAATTCATAAATCACTATTAATAAGAGTGCGGAGGATAAGAGAAAATAATACAAGAGAAAAACTTGACACTGATGATTCAAAAATTGTTTTCTCATTTATGTGAGAGTAGCTAAGAACCATGCAAACGTTAAAATTTGCACAGTAGCTAATTCGCCGTTTTTTGAAGCTATCCTTTTTTTTCAATGACAATTAGTTGTCATTCCAGTTCTATACAACTTAAGAACAAAGAGACCGTATGATTTTCAACAACAAAATCGAGAATAAACGTGCGACTTTTCCTTTTCTAAACGAAGGCGGTCAAAAA